CTACTGGAGGATTTATTTAAATAAAATATGCTTATTAAACACTCCTGCAAAGATGGTTTTATTAGTACCTTGGTCATTTTGTCCAAGGAAGGGTTATAATTGCATTCTCATGTGAAATATAAAAAGCAAGTCTTGCCCAATAAAAACGCTACATTGTGTGTATTTTTTGTTCAGCTAAGAATTGGAAAAGTATTTGCTTGCCTTTAAGTTACTGACATCAGCTTCCACCATTGTAAAAATTGAGTAAAACCTGAAGTTTTGCATAAAATGCAGATCGGTACCTGTGCTTGAAGGTTGCTGTAGAGCATCCGACCCCCTATTACCAACTTAAGCAATGTGTATGCCATGCATTACCATGCACTAATTCAATCACAGGTGTTTCTATCTAGATTGAAATATGTTTGTCAATGAATATAGAATAGAAACTAAATCTAAACATGACAATAATAGACACACATCTTTGTATGGTACCAATTAGTTTTGCCGTGGATCAGATGGTTTATGAAAGTAATAACCATAAAGCAAAAAATAATCTGAAAGCCCGTCTATTCCTATGCTCAATAAAGTTAAGTTTTTCTTCATTAGAACAGTTTTATGATTTATTTGCCTAGAAGTATGTCAGAAAAATGAGGCTTCTAGTAGGAATTATTCCTATTGCCCCTGAAGTCAGGACCAGTGCCTGTGATCTCCATTACTATATTTTACTGGAGGTATTAACCAACACAGTTAGATCAGAGAAAGCAATTGGCCAGGCATGGAGGCTGGTGCCCATAATCCCAGCTACTCAGGAAGCTAAAGCTGGAGGATCACTTGAACCCAGGAGTTTAAGGCTGCAGTGAGCTATGATCATGCCACTGTACTCCAGCTTGGGTAACAGATTGAGAGCCTGTCTCATTTAAAAAAAAAAAAAGCCATTAGACACACAGGAAAAATCCAGAAGGGTAAACTAAAGCCACAATTAATATGGGAATTTGGAAAAAGTGGTAGGATTTACAATACAGCAACAGCTTATGTATAGGATAGCTGTAAGTAAATACTGAAACACATTATGCCTCTGTAATTGGTGTTGATACATGAACAGAATAGCAGACACAATGCATATGAAAGTTACAGAATATGGTAAAAGTGGGATAAAGATGGGTTTTTAATGATGGTAAGATAACTGAAAATAGGCATATAGATACATTCCAGGCAGACTGAAGATCTAATTGTAAAAATGAAAGCATATGGGCCGGGCACGGTGGCTCAAGCCTGTAATCCAGCACTTTGGGAGGCCGAGATGGGCGGATCACGAGGTCAGGAGATCGAGACCATCCTGGCTAACACGATGAAACCCTGTCTCTACTAAAAAATAAAAAAACTAGCCGAGAGAGGTTGTGGGCATCTGTAATCCCAGCTACTCGGGAGGCTGAGGCAGGAGAATGGCGTAAGCCCGGGAGGTGGAGCTTGCAGTGAGCTGAGATCAGGCCACTGCACTCCAGCCTGGGCGACAGAGCGAGACTCCGTCTCAAAAAAAAAAAAAAAAAAAAAATGAAAGCATACAAATACTAAAAGAAAATGGGGGAAAACTACATTATATGTGACTTAAAACCTAGAAGAAACAAAATTTGATCAGTTTTAACTACATAAAAATGTTTATAGGACAAGAAAAACCCCACCACAATCCAAAGCAAACAATGTATTGAGAGGATTCCAATAATTAAGAATACTTCATACAAAAAGAAATGTAAATGATCTTTAACCTGTAAAGATGCTTACCTTGTTCAAAAGAGAATAAACCACAGTTTCTTTTTACCTTTCACTGGAAAAAGTTTAAAAACAAATGTATTCAGTGTTGAGGCTGTGGAGAAATAAGGACACATATATGGGAATGGAATGAAAAAGTTAAACTCTGGTTAACACTCAAGAGTATTTAGGTGGGTGCAGTGGCTCACGCCTGTGATCCCAACATTTGGGAGGCCAAGGCGGGCGGATCACTTGAGGTCAGGAGTTTGAGACCATCCTGGCCAACATGGCGAAATCCTGTCTACTGAAAATAAAAAAAACTAGCTGGGCATGGTGGCAGATGCCTGCTACTCGGGAAGCTGAGGGACAAGAATCACTTGAACCTGGGAGGCCAAGGGACGAGAATCACTTGAACCTGGGAGGCTGAGGGACAAGAATCACTTGGACCCGGGAGGCACAGTTTGCAGTGAGCTAAGATTGTGCCACTGCACTCCAGCCTGGGTGACAGAGTAAGACTCCTGTCTCAAAAAGAGTATTTGGTAATAACCATCAGAATTACATACGCATTTATCCTCTGACTCAGAATTTTAACTTCTTTCTGGGCTCTGAAAGGTATGCATTTACAAAAATTTAGAATGCTATATGCAAAAGATCAGAAATACCCAAGTGTATTAAACAGGAAAGTATTACGGTTCATCCACATGAGGGAGTCACAAAACAATGAAGATTTCTGTATAATGTAAAACGGTCACCAGGATAGAGTAAGGGGAAAAGC